TTCTTTCACCTATATTCTGAATTTATTTCCATTTATTTTCCCAAATGTTACATAGTATTGTAAACATAGTTCATATTTTGTCTCTTTTTCCAAAGGCTATTTGCCTGTATCATAATGAAATATGAGCTGACAGAAATGTTAGCTTGCTGACTTATAGATTTTTATAATATATAGCCTAATAGTTAATACCCAGGAGCTTAATGTGTCCTGGATTAGTTATTTTTCTGTTTCTGTTTTCTGTGTGTTTTTTTCTGAAGTTGAAATTTTGTTTCCTACTAGTATCTCAAATATATAAAGTTCTCTATCCTAATTACATTTTGGATATGAAAGTTACTAAGATGATGGGAAAGGAGGTCATAATTTGGTTGAAGATCATGGTACCACAGGTGCTTTTATTTGGGATCCTTTGTTTTTTACATCCCATTTCTTAGAGTAGTCCCCTTTGGTGAGCAAGTGGGAGAATGTCTTTTGGAATCTTTTGTGGTACTTAGTAGAGGAGAAAGAGACTTAACTGCAGATCTAAGGTTTTACTGGCTACTTACCTTGAGATTGAAGAAGGTCTACAGTGGGGATCTAGTATCCAGGAAGGTGAGGCTTGGGTCAAAGAACTTGTACCTTAGACAGGAAGGGTTTAAGCAGATTCCAGCCAGAGGGGAGAATTTAATGAGATAGGGGACCTTCTGAGAGTTATTTCTCAGATCCTCTGGATTCCCAAAAGTGTCTCATTAATCCAGGGGCTATGTTTTTAGACAGGAACATTCTGGAGGGATTTCTGCTTCTTTTAGTTTATTGTCTTTAGAATCATTCTTTGCTCTGCAGAACATGTCTGCATGAGCTGCAGGCAGAGATATTGAAAAAAAAAATTTTTTTTGAGACAGGTATCCCTGTAGCCCCAGGTGACCTGGAACTCATTATGTCTACCAGGTCCTCCATAAGAACAACCAAAGCTCTTAACTGCTGAGCCATCTCTCTACCCCATCATCTACCTACTTTTCTTTTAAAGAGCTTTTGTAATTTCACACAACATTTCTTAGTCAAATTTAGACCCCTTCCCCTATCCATGCCTCTCCCATTCCTCCACCAGGCCTCATGTATTTTGCCATACATGTTAAGTCCTATTCAGTCAAGCATGTGGACCCAGACATCCTTCAGTGTAAATTCATCCACTGGAGTCTAGTCAGCCCATCTAGAGATTGTATGTAAGACATACTCTTCCTCATCCAGTAGCAATCAGTCTCCAATAGTTCTCAGTCTAGTGACTCCTGCTATCCATTTCTCTCCTCCCCTCTGGGCTCTTGTTTAATTGAGTTGGCATGGGTCCTGTGCTCAATGCCACCATTGCCACAAGTTCACATGTGCAAGTTTCCAGTGGCCTGAAAGCCTCTGTTCCTTGTGTTCATGAACCAGCCCTGGTTCTTAAAATCTTTCTGCCCCCTCTTCCACAATGGTTACTAAGCTGTGGGTGGGTGAGGTTCAATACAGGTGTCCTATTCAAGGATATATACTCTGCAGTCTCTTATTCTTTAAAATTTGGCCAGTTGTAGCCTTCTGTGTAGATTACACTCTGTTGTATAGGGAAGCTTTACTGGTGAGAGTTGAGGGATGAATTAGTTTTCTCTCTACCCCTTGTTCCACTATGTTCCATGAGCCTGAGTAGGGACTTAATGATCTATGGTAGGGTGTTTAGCTAGTCTGGGTTAGGAACTAGTGCAAGGATCTGAGGTGAAGGAATGAAAGCCGCCTGGGTCTAAGGTTGGCAGGGGATAGGATGGGGGTGGGCCAATTTCACTTTTCTTAAGAGCTAAGTAATATTCCATTCTGTAAAATACTATATTTTAATTATTCATTCATCAATTGATGGATATTTACATCATTTCCATTTGTTGCCTACTGTGACCGAGAAACAATGAACATGGATGAACAGGTATCTTTCTAGTAGGATAGAGTCCTTTGGGTATATGCCCAAGAGTGTTCTGACTGGATCAGGTGATATATCTATTTCTTACTTTTGGGGGAACTTCCACATTGATGTCCATAGTGGTTCACAAGTTTGTACTCCCACAAGCAGTAAGTGTTCCCTCTCCCAACACCCTCACCAGCATTCGTTGTTTTCTTTTTGGGATCTTAGCCATTCTGAATGGAATAAAAGGAAATCTCAAATAAGTTTTAATTTATATTTTCTCTGGCTGAAGGTGCTAAAAGGATTTGTTTATTTGTTTATTTTGTTTATTTGTTTATTTTGTTTATTTATGTGCATGAGTGTTTTTCCTGCATGCAGGTAAGTATACCCCATGAGTATGATGCCTGCAGAGGCCAGAAGAGGGTGTCAGATCTCCTGGAGCAGCCAGTGTTCTTAACTGCTGAGCCACCTCTCCAGCCCCCTCTTTTTATTGTTTTGTTTGTTTTTGTTTTTTAGAGAGAGGGTCTCATTATGTAGCCCTAGCTGGCCTGGAACTCCATATATAGACCAGGCTGGCTTTGAACTCATAGAGATCCACGTGCCTTTGCCTCCCAAGTGTTCAGATTAAAGGAGCGTGCTATCACGTTTGGCTTGTTTTGTTTTTGAGACACTTGCGTGAAGCTCAGGCTTTGTGGTTGATGTTGAACATTTAAAAAACGTATTTCTCAGCCATTTGCATTTCTTCTTTGAGAACTCACTATTCATTTCCTTGCCCCAATTTTTAAAAAAATTTCATATTGTTTTATGTGTATACGTGTATTGCCTGCATGTATGTGAGTGCACCCGTGTCGTGCAGTGCCGTGGTCAGAAGAGGGCATCTGATTCTCCTGGAACTGGAGTCAAGGATGGTTCGTACCTGCCATGTGGGTCCTGGGAATCAAACACAGGTCCTCTGCAAGAGCAGTCAGTGCTCTTAACTGCTGAGCCATCTTTCCAGCCCCTTTCTTCTAGTCTTAAAGTTTGTATTATACAAGTCTATCACTTCCTTGATTAGATTTTTTCCAAGATTTCTTTGTCGAAACTATCGTGAATGCTATTGTTTCCCTGATTTCTTTCTCAGTATGTTTGTTTTTGGTATATGGGGATTCTACTGATTTTTGTGTGTTAGTTTTGTATCCTGTTACTTTGCTGAATGTGTTTAACAGCTCTAGATGTTTTCTGGCTGATTTTTAAGGGTCTTCTATGTATAGAATCATATCATCTGCAAATAAGGATATTTGACTTCTTCCGCTCCAGTTTTTATCCCCTTTGTTGCCTTCACTTGTCTTACTGCTTTAGCTAAAATTTTAAGCACTATGTTGAACAGGAATGGAAAGCGTGGACATCCTTGTCTTATTCTTGAACTTAGTTAAAAAGTTTTGGGTTTTCCTTCATTTAGTGCGTTGTTGGACGTGGGCTTGTTGTCTATTGCCTTTATTTTGTTGAGATATGTCCCCTGTATCACTAGATTACCCAGGACTTTTATCATGAAGGGAAGCTGGATTTTGTCAAAAGCCTTTTCTGCATCTAATGAGATGATCATGTGGTTTAATGGTGGACTATATTTATGGACTTACATATGTTGAACCATCCTTGAATCTCTGGGTTGAAACTGACTTGATCACAGTGCACAATCTTTTTGAAGTGTTCTTGAATTTGATTTGCAAATATTTCATTGAGAAATTTTGCATCTATGTTCATCAGCTAGATTGGCCTATAATTTTCTTTTTTTAATTGCATCTTTGTCTGGTTTTGGTATCAGGTTAATATTGACTTCATTAAAAGAATTTGGAAATGTTCCCTTCTTTTATTTTTTATTTTTTGGTCTTTTTGAGACAGGGTCTCCCTGTAGCCCCAGCTGTCCTGGAACTCACTATGTAGACCAGGCTGGCCTTGAACTCACAGAGATCTGCCTGCCTCTGCCTCCCGAGTGCTGGGATTAAAGGCATGCACCACCATGCCCGGCCCTTCTTTTCTATTTTATGGAATAATTTGAGGAGTATTAGTATTAGTTCTTCTTTGGAGTTATGGTTGAATTTTGTGCTGTGTTCATCTTGTACTTGGCTTATTTTAGTTGGGAGGCTTTCAATTACTGCTTCTATCTCATTGGTTGTTATGAATCTAATTAAATTGTTTATATAATCTTGTTTTAATTTTGGTAGGTCACACATATCTAGACTGTCATCCATTTCTTTTCTTTTAGATTTTCCAGTTTAGTGGAATATAGGTTTTTGTATTCTTAAGATTCTCTGAATTTCCTTAGTAGCTGTTGTAATGTTTCTCTTTTCATCTCAGATTTTATTAATTTGAGCCCTTTGCTCCATGTCAGGTATGTCTTAGGCATGTAGACCCTCATGTGTGCATTATATGATTACAAAACAAATGGCTATTTTTAATCTATGAAAATGTAGAATAAAATATAAAAATTAAACAGGCAAGGGAAAGAGCACAAGTATATTAAATATCTATAAAGATACTCAATAATGTTTGTCATATTTATTGAGTAAAAGATAAGTTTGTGGCAGTGAGGCTGAGATGTTTATGTTGGTCAAAATTTTGTGTGGACATAAATGAAGTAAGGATATGATGAATTATAGGGTAGCAAGGTATTTAAGCCAAGAGAGATGCATGAGTGGCTCAGATATGAGTGATTAAAATGATTTGAATAGGTGTCCTGATAAACCCAATGAAAATCTGCTTAAAATATCATATTTAGATAAACTTTTCTGTAAAAATATTTAGAGGAAATCAGGTAAAGGGAACAGTTGTGAGAAGGATTTGCAGATAATGCTCTTCAGCATTCTACACATGTATGGACCATCTGTCTATTTTCTTTGTGGAAAGCAAGACATCTGAGAATAATCCAGGTAAAGCACAAAGTCTCTATTGGAAACTTCAGAAGATAGATGTTTCCAGGTAAAAGAGTTTTCTTAATCATCAGGGTGGTTGATCTTGAGAGATGGGGATTTTGCCCTAGGAGCTGATGGACAGTCATTTGAAAAGATGACCTACTAGCATTAACTGATATGCTCATGAGGCTATTGACGGAGACAGGCAGCAATTATCTGCTTTTCAAAGACTTCCCTTGATCCTGGACTGGTAGGATCCTCCTCCATGCTGCCTTCACATCCTTGTTTCTCAGAGTGTAGATAAGTGGATTGAGCAGTGGGGTGATGACACAGTAGAAGAAGGACATGAACTTGGCCTGAGTACTGTTGGCAGGAGGCTGGAGGTACATGTAAATGGCTGGGCCAAAGTACATGATGACAACCAACAAGTGTGAGCTACAGGTGCTGAGAGCCTTGTGCCTTCCCTCAGCTGAAGGCAACTTCAGCACAGCCCTAGCAATGAAGGTGTAAGAGACAAGCACAGTCAAGGGAGCCACTAGCGCAAAAGGAATGGCTCCCAAGGTCAAGGACAGGTCATTAACAGTGGTGTCACCACATGCCAGCTTGATCAAAGCAGGCACTTCACAGAAAAAGTGGTCCAAGGTGTGTTGCCCACAGAGGGGAAGCTGGAAGGTGAGTGTGGCTTGGAGCAGAGAATTGGCCAGGCCACTAGCCCAGCATGCAGCTGCCAACCACACACATGCCAAGGGATGCATGATGAGAGCATACCTGAGTGGCTGGCAGATGGCCACATAGCGATCAAAGGCCATCACTGCCAGCAGGGCACATTCTGTGCAGCCTGTCCAGTGGAAAAGGTAGGCCTGTATAATGCAGCCCCAGGAGGCGATTGTCTTCTCTGGTCCCCAGAGGTTGTTCAGCAGCTGTGGGACGATGGTGCAGGTGACACAGAGGTCCACCACAGAGAGGTTGTCCAGGAAGAAGTACATGGGTGTCTGGAGTCTGGGATCCACCAGTGAGAGGAGGATGATGGAACTATTTCCCATCAGAGTTAGAATGTGGGAGACCAGGACCACTCCAAAGAGGGGGATCTCCAGCCACATGTGTTCTGAGAAACCCGTCAAGACAAAAGTGATAGGGAAACTCACATTTTGTCCTCCCATAACATCTGCTTTCTATTTGCCTAGAAGGAAAGAGAACTAATGTGAGAATAAACAAGTCTTTTTTATTTCAATATCTAACATCGCAAACCTCATGCTATATTTGTGGGATAATCTTCATAAATGTTATACAAAGCTCTTGAATTTTGAGTCATTCTGTGATATGCTCCCTTATTCCTTGACTTGGACATAGGAATGAAACTGAACTATTATAGATATGAAAATTTCCATATACCTTAGCAAACTCAGTCAAGAATCTATGTGAAAACACCTCATTTTATGCTGCTTCTCCCCTTTGTCCCACTCCCTCCTTTTCTTAATGTTCTGTAACCATTCTTTCTGCCTTCCAGTTTATTTATTAAGTACACTGCTCTAATGTACTGCTACTTCAGGACAGTGTTTATGGGAAATAATATCTGGGATTTCTGCCAGTGCAAGTAGGTGAAGGGTTCTGGGGAATCAGATGTTAGGCTAGAGATCGAAAATACTAATATAGCTACTCTGCTGCAAGAAGGCCGGAATGTGGAATCCATTTTGGGTAACCTCTTTTCCATTCCCCCAAGTATCATTATGGTGAAATATATGTGGCATGCCATTTCCTATTTTAACTGCTTTTGTGTGTACAGATTAGCAGTGTTATGTGATTTTATACTGTTGTGCTCCCATCATGAACGTATACCTAGAGTGTTTTTATCATTCAACACTCATATTAAACCTTGTAACCTATAACTCCCTGCTTTTTATTTCAGGCACAGGTACCTCCCATTTTCTTTTCCATCTCTTACTTTTTACTGTTGTAAATACCTCATAGAAATAAAATCAGTATTCATGATTTTGTGATTGGTACATTTCTTCAACACAACATGCGTTCATGTTCCAGAAAAAGATTATTCTAAAATGGAATTAGATTGGACTACAATCACAAGGTTCAAGAAGTTGTAAATTTTCTGAGTTGATCATAAAAAGTATATGATAGATGGAACTTATAAAATGTGTTGATGTAGCAGGTTAGAAAAAAATAGCTCAGTACCAGGAACGGGTTATCCCTTTTGGGGTTGTTGGCTAGTGGGGTTCCATAGACAACCCTCAAACATTATTGGTCATTCCTATTGCTCTTGGTTACCCTCTACAACTTGACAGTAAGATCTTACTCCTGAAGGCACTACATATTTGAGTCATAGAACATGGAGAAATCAAGCTGGTTCTGACCTCAAAGCTTTGTCCCTGTTGTTAAGTATGCCGCTGGAAGGGAAAAATAATCATCATTTGGAAGTAACCAAACACTTTCTGATAGGATTTAAGGCCAGATCCACAGGATGGAACTCATACCTGGCACCATTACCAGGGCCAAGAACCTGTGACTACATAGTCATGGACACTAGGGGAGAACCTACTATTATTCAGCTAAATGGACATAGTATTAAACCTACTCTTAATGACATTGTTAAATCCATAGATTAGCATATCTGTCAAACCTCATCAGAGAACATTCTTCTTACAGCAGATGATGATCAACAGAGAGGCCCACAACTAGTCAACATACAGAAAATAAGAGACTATGGAGTGCTCATCTCTAAATGGGTCATCCATATTATACCCCTCTCCCCAAGGCTCAGGGATCATTGTGAAATAGGGGAGCAGGCAGAAAGATTATGAGCCAGAGGTGGTGATGACTACAACTAAACAATGTTTTCTGGACACAATAGAGTAGCTGCATGTAGCATGTATGAAGTTACAGTGGCTGTGACAGCACTGGCACAAGACCTGGGTAGGCTTAAGTCAGACAAAATCCAAGTGTGGAGGGGAAGCTGGTCATTGAAAACTGCTGGGAGAAGAAAAGTCTTTTTCATTAAGAGTGTAATGCTTGCTAGGTTGATCATCCTAGAGGGATCAACTCTAAAGTATTTGGGCAACACAAATTGGACTCTGTAGGCTTAAAAAAAGAGGACATGAAGTTGGGTGGGTAGAGGGGTGGGGGCAAATCTTGGAGGAGATGGAGAAGGGTTAGTGAATATAATAAAAACTGCATGAAATTCTCAAAGAATTAATAAAATTTCAAAAGTATCTCTGTGTGTTTAGATTGGTTGTAATTTTAAAAATATAAGGGATTTTATGAAGTCAAAATTTAATTCACGAATCTAAAGCTAAAAGGCTTTTAAAATATTGTTTCACTCTCAGTAACATTTTGCAAAAGCTGGCTTCAAGGACAAAGATTTTGTGTTTTATGAAGATAACTGTTTCTGCTGACTTTGCTAGACTTTTGACTACTTGGGAGTCTGGCTCACTGAAGTATCTGTTATGTTAAAATCTTCAAAATGATCATATTGATTCTCTAGTTTTATAAACAATGATTATTTTTAGTTGATTCTAATACATTTATCACCCCATATCTGTGAATAGACATGTGTAGAGTTGCATATGAACTTCATGTGTTATGTAGAAGTTTGCCAAGTTAAAAGTGTGTGAATTTAAGACATAAAAGAGCCCCACCAGTGTTCTCCTTTATGCACTTTGCATTTGAATCTTCAGCATTTGAGATGTCCAGTGAAATGTTTGACATTTCTTTGTCAATTGTTAATATCCCTCCTAACAAACTTCTTAATTGTTTGAATCAGCCTAAAGAGTCTCATTGATGTTGACTCCCACCTGTCTTTCACTCCCTTTAAAATGTGGGATCATATTGGATCAAACTGGGAAATAATCTCATTTCAGCAATGAGCAACAACTACAACCAGGGAACAGTGTGGCTTAGCAGTGTTGTCTTTAAAGAAAATTGTTCAGAGGTAAATGGTGAAGGGATCAAAGTCAAAATGGAGTCATGCCTGGTGTGGTGGCGCATGCCTATAATTCTAGAACTTGGAGTCTGAAAGTGGAGGGTTATGAGTTCTAGGGAAACTTAGGATATATAGTGAGTCTGAGACCAGCTTGGACTATATGGTGAGACCCTGTCTCAAACAGCACAACACAAGACAACAAAATGTAGTCAGCTGTTTCAGCCTTTCCAAAGGGTAACTAATACTACAAATAACTATAAATAGATCTATTTTGGATTAAAGTAACACATTTTTTCAAATACATTTATTATTTATTTTTAAACATTTTATCTATTATTTTTATTTTATGTATATGAGTGTATTGTTTGCATGTATGTGAGTGCACCCGTGTTGTGCAGTGCTGCGAATGTCAGAAGAGGGCTTTGGATGCCCTGGTACTGGAGTTAAGGATGATTCATAGCACACCATGTGGGTGCTGGGAACCAAACCAGGGTCCTCTGCAAGAGCAGTCAGTGCTTTTAACTGCTGAGCCATCCCACCAGCCCCTATTTATTTTAAATGGGCACATGGTATCATTTGGACTACATGCATTTTTTATGTACAGCATGGTGTTTTGATGTACAAATTCATTTTGGAATGATTCAGTCTAACTAATTTAAACATGTTTTCTCTAACAGAGTCATTTTTTTGGTAAGAACACAACATTTTTTTGACCTCTTCAAGAATATAACAATCTAGAAATCCCACCACTATCTAAAGGAAATGAAATCACTCTTTTGAAGAGAATCTGAATTCCCAAGTTCATTGACGTATCACTGATGGCAATCAAATTATAGAATAAAGGAAAGTGAATAGTCATAGATGAAGAGATAGAGAATACAATAAATCTTCACAACTGAAGACCATTCAGCCTTAAAAAAAGGAAGTATGTCATTATGACAACATGGTTGAACCTGGAGTAGACTATGGCAAGTGAAATGAGCCCTGTGTGCACACACACCATACGAAACAGATTTTACATATGTTTTCAAGTAAATTGCACTCTATATAAACACTGTAATTGATTCTATTTCAGTCAGGTCACCACCTTTGGGGGATTGCAAAGAAAGAATTCCTTGTAAAGCTCAGTCACAAGGCTCCAGTCTCCTTACTATAGTGTTCTGCACCTCTGAGATGGACCTGCTTCCTTAGACAGTCAATTTATAATAATGCATTCTTTAGACTGAGCTACTGTGGTTGAGCCACCTCTAGAATGTGCAATCCTCATTTTATTAGGCCATATTGTAGAGTCCCTGGGGGGCGGGTGGGAAGTAGCAGGTCTGGGGCTACTAAGTTTCCGCCTAAGTGTGGAGTCTCTTTGGACATTGGACATCCAGACCTTCCAGGATACCGGCTCACTAACCTCCAGACCATTGTCTCTGCAACTCTGCTACATAGAAGAGGCAGAAGTGTGTTTTGAGAGGAGGGATGGTCTCTCTGGGCAGGACAGTAAGCTTCTGAGGTCAAGTATCCCACCCTTTCATCCATTCATACCTCTTTCCACACCGGGCTGCCCTCCTTTGTCGTCGTCGTCGTCGTCGTCGTCGTCCTCCTCCTCCTCCCCCCCTCCTCCCCCCTCCTCCTCCTCCGTCTCCTGCTCCTCCTCCGTCTCCTGCTCCT